AGGGGAGGATTTCCTGGGATTTCTGTAGCCATTCTGTTTTCCCAAAATGAGGATTAAGGCTACCAGCTCACTTATGGCCCATGGGTATTTCGTTAGCACAGTTCGTTGGGTAAATGCAGAGGAGGAAAGGGGGTCAGGACACCCCTTGGCACGATGCAGAGGGCCCGTGGCTGTGGGTTGGGGCTGGGGCTGGTGGTCCCACACAGCTCTTCCCCCTACAGGCCATGCTCCTTCCCCCTTCTCCTTGCATCCCTGGGCACCTTCCTGGACCCATGGGGGAACCAGAGCAGGAGGGGGCCTGTACCTTGGGAACCAGCAGCTAGAGTTGAGCTCAGTGCTCTAGAGCTTCAGCTCTGGCACCCAAAGGATGCGGTGGCTGGAGGAGCTGACACCCTCCACTAGCGAGTGCATCCCACAGGAAGTTTTGCCCCAGAGAGAGAAAGCAGGGCTGGTTTTGATGCTCACATCTTTGGGGCACAGCTGAGACCCAGGGAAGAGCCACAGAAGGGATGTAGGGGCTGAAGGGGTACCTCACTGTAAGTTCAGTCACTTTATCAGGCAGAGGCCAACAGCAGGGACTGGCTGCATGTAATGCTGGCGAGGAGCAGCCGTCACCCTTCAGCACCCCCAGACCCTGCAGACGGTAACATCCATGTCTCAGCATCCCCACAAGCAGAGCTGCTCCTGCTTTTGGATTGCAGCTCTGTCCAAGAGGACCTGGGTGCTGCACCCACCAGGGGCACAGCATTGCCCTTCTCTCCCACCAAAGGTCGGGTCCTCCTGCTGCTTGACCCTCTGTTTCTGGAGGATGGGATGCTGTGTATGGTCAGGGGTGAGCACCCAAACTGGTGGGTGCTGGGATGGGGTGAGAGCAGCTCACCCCAGCCCCACGGGAGGCACGGGGGTAATAAGTGATGCTGGACAAGTTGCCATCAGCAGGATCCAGGAGTGTTATAAAACCTGAATCTCCTGAGCCTTCAGCTGGGATTGCAGCTGCAGAGCAGGAAGCAAACAGGATCCCGGCTGGCATTGTGAAAGCAAACACCATAAATCCAAGGAAGTGCTGCGATTGCTGTTTTAGGCACTGGGGAGCTTGGCTCCTGCTCCCCACAAGTGCTTTATTTTCTCTCTAAACAGAGAAAAAAACCCCAACAAACCCAACCCCAACTTATCGCTCAGCTGAGCTGCCTCGGTGCTGTCTTGGGCCCTGCGGCGCCTGCAGGATGTGGGTCACTTGCTCAATCCTCCAAGATGCTTCAAGCCCCAGAGCCCCCAGGGCAGGGTGCAGGCAGGGTGCAGGTAGATGACAGCTTTAGGCTATGTTCACTCACCTGTGAACCACCCACAGAATGTCCAGACCCCAGGGAGAAGCAAGCAGGGGGGACAGACAGAGATGGACAACCAGAAGCTGGGAAGGGGGGACAAAGGGCTATCCAGGGCATGACAACTGGCTCACTCCATCCTTCATCCTGTTGCTGGTAAGCCAGATGGGATAGCTCCCAGAGGCTGGAGGTACAGGTAGGATCAGAACCAGCCCCACCAGGGCTAAAGCAATGGGGCCGTTGCTCCATGAAAGGGACAAAGCCGAGGGGACAGGATGGAAACCTCGATGTGACTTTACGCTGCTGCCCGCTGGATGGAGCTCGGTGACACCGGAGGAGGCTGGGCTGGGAGGCGTGCTGGCATGCCCTGCGTCTCCCATGGGTGTCCCTGGCCTCGGCACACACACACTGATCCTGCTTGAAGGGAAGAGCCGTTTCCAACCCATGGGATTGGCTCAGCATTTTGCAAGGGCTCCACAAACCTGTGTTGGATGGTGTCTGTGGGTCCCCAGCCATGGGATGGGGTCTGTTATGGGATGGTGTCTGTGGGATATGCTTTGCCCACCCCAGGCTGGGTCTCTTTTCACTACAGCTGGTGTCAGACAGAGCTCCATGGTCTGAGCGGCCCCATGCCATGACTCCCTCACACTCCCTTTTCCCTCTTGCCCTCTTTTACACACCCTCGTCTCTTGCTCTCCCCCATGTTCCATCCCTCCCCATCATACTTTGGCCATTTACCCCTGCTCTGTGCCAGACCAGGTTTTGGCACCAGTGTTTAGCCACGCATTCCCGCTGCCCTCATCCCTGTCAGGGTGCTGTCACCCCAGCACCTGGGTACCCCAGCACAGAGGTGTGCTGCATGCATCCCGTGCCTTTGCCCGGGCTGCCCTCAAGGAAACGTGCGGCATGTTTAGGAAAACAGGCCTTGGCACCCGGTGGCCATCCCGAAAACACGAAAACATCCGTGCGGGCAGCGGCACAGCGAGCGCGAGAGGCGGCACTCCATAAATCCCCCGGAGCAGGTGCTTTGTAGTCGGCACAAGGAAATGAGCACATTATTCAGCTCGGCTTAAACCCCAAAACGCTTCCTGTCCTGTGAGTCAGAAATAACCCCGGGAGATCATTCCTGGGCCACGCAGGAGCTGTACCAGCCAAAAAAGTGCCATGGTGGACCTGGGGACCTGCTGGAGAGGTCGGGGGTGCAAGCACACCGTGATGGAGGGGGCTTTGCCATGGCACCAGCACTGATCCCATCCTGTGGGATGTGCTGGGGAGCTCCTGGGGAGCCCAAGGCCTGTCCTGGGCACCATGACTCAGTGGGATGCAGGGACTGGGAGAGCCCCAGAACGCACTGGAGCTTTCTCATTCCTGGATGGATCCCACAGATCTTCTGAAGTCTCTCTCCAGGATCAGAAAGATGGATCCCCCACTGTGCCCTGCATCGGGCTGTTGGTTGGAAGCACCCTGGGGTGGTGCCCTGCTTTAGGAACACCCTACAGGAAGAGCCATGGATGGCTGGTGGCTTCATGGTGGAAGAGACCACACGGTCATGGGGCTGGGACCCCTCATAGCCATCATGGGGGTCCCACA